AGTATTTCCTATTTTTGTTTATAAAATTATAAATCTTATCAAGTAAAATCATAGTAATGACACCTAACGAATTATCCAACTTCGATGTGCATATGTTTGATTTAGAAAATGATTTACTTACTAAATTTTTGGTGTTTTGTTTTGTACCCTTAGGATTTCTATTGTTCTTTTTTTTTAAAAAGTTTATATGTTTAAATATTTAGCTTCTTTACTAAATGTCTCACTAATGTTATGTACATATACATATATAATATATGATATATGTTGATTCAGATTTACTTTTGTTAGTAAGATACACTAATCGTGTAAAACTGCTTTTTGCTTCTCCACGAGATCTTATACGAATTTTAGGTTATATCTCTATTCAATATATAAGATCTGTTTTATTTGCAGTCAACTATATGTTAATATTTGTTTTTAAACATATAAGATGATGTTGAGACTTCACATTATCACTGTTTTTTTATCTTTTGTGTGTTTATTCATGTTTTGATTTGAATATTTTATCTTCATATATTCTCATTTGAATTTGATTCATAACTTTGTCATATTATATTATTTAAAAAAAAATTTAGAGGATGTTGCTCATGTGTTGTTCCTGTTGACTAAGTTATAAGCAATAAAAATGTATACAAATCAGACTTTATTAGTTATTATATTTTGAATGTAAAATTACTTGTGCAGTATTTTACTTTGTTAATTTTTCAACCAGACGCAATCAAGGTATTAATCTTTGTAAATTTAAATAATATGTTTGATTTAGAAACTTGTATAACCTATTAAAACTTTATATGTTTATTCATAGTCAACACTAATATTTTAGAAATCATGAATGTTTTTGGAACTATATTTCAAACTAATTTTCTTCTTAGATCTTATTTTTTGTTATTTTAAATATCTTCAATGGTAATTTTATATTTTAATTTAATTATCTTTTAATTAATCTCTTTTGATATTGATTTTTCAAATAGGTAGCATATATATTAATCAAATATCTTTTACATAAATGCTTTTTCTTTGTAAACTTTACTTTTAAAATTAATTAAAAGCTATGTTGACATGTTATAACTCGTTATTCTAAATTTTAAATGAACTTCTCTCAAAAGTTTACTTTATAAAACTTTTTCTTTTGATAATTTACCTCTCTTGATATTGATTTTCATTTTATTTTAACACACTATTGTTTTTAAAATATTGATATTTTGAAGATACAAATATTTTGTTAGTTAAATATTTTTATATGAATTTTTTTAAGTAGTTAGTCAGATATCAAGTCAATATATTTTTAAGTGTTTTTTAAAAAAAACTAATATTTTGTAAAACTTAATTTTTGTTTTAGGTTTTTAGTTAATTAATTTCTTAATATTGATTTCTTAAATAATTAGCTTAAATATTTATATTAATTTTGTTAGTTAAGTTTTTTAGTATTATTTAAGTTTTTTTATTCTCTTACTTATTCTGTTTATATTGATTTTGTTATATAAATAACATATATATTAAGTTAATATCCTCCTTTTTTTGTTAATTTAACTTTTTCGATATGAACTTCCATTTTAATTGTATTGACATGTTGTAAGAAATAATTTATGTTTTGGTTTTTGTTAGTTAAACATTTTTTTTATATTGTTTTCTTCAGTAATTAGTAAAAAATATCATTTTTGTTTTGTTAAGATTTTTGTGTTAATTTTTTAAATATTTCCCCCAAAATTATAAGTTTTGGATGACTTTCTTTTTTGATAATTTAAGATGAATGTTTTTTTGGTAGTATTGATATTTTTAAATAACAATTTTATATGTTTATATGAAACTTTAATCTTAATATTTTTTCTAAATAAATTACTCATTTAAAATATATACGCTAAATTTTTTTTAATTTAACTTTTTCGTTATTCCATTTTATTTTCACAACAGATTTAGACTTTTGACATAAATTTATTTTATTTACTTAAAAAATTATCTTAATTTTCGATTCTATTGTGATAATTTTCTATTTTTGTAAGTATTAATTTATTTAAATTATTAATAATATATATTTTTTTATGTTTAATGAAAAACGCTGATATAAACTAATCAGATTGAGTATATATGTCCTATGTGGATGCTCTTATTGGCCTAAGACATCTACACAGACCACAAATAATATATTTTAAGTTAGCACTTCATATTTTGATTGTTTTTCATGATTAAAATTTTAAAATAATTTAATTATGGTTTTAAATTCAGTTTTTAATAATTTTGTTCAACATATATGATTTTTTTTCATAATCTATTTATATGTTAATTTACATTTTTATTGTTAATAGAAAAATAAGATATATTGTCAGAACTCTTTTTTTATTAATAACTAACTTAAAATTTAGAAACTTTCCTAATAACAACAAAAACAAAATTAATTAAAATTTAGAAATTTTCGTTATAACAATTAAAATGAATTAATTAATTTTAATATACAATATATAATTAACTAAAAATAATGATTATGTGTACCAATAGAATTGAATCTTTAAATCATATGTGGACACCCTTAGAGACATTTAGCATCAACTTTTATTAGTAATAGATAGATTTTTATTCATGGCTAAAATTAAAGTTTTTCGTATTAGTATAGTTCTGAAATTTTTTAAACTGAATTAAATCAAACCGAATCAGATTACATAGACAGTCAACCCTTTCAACAATTTATAAATTACTAGGATATGCTCCGCGCTACGCGCGGATTTGTTTTTAAATATATATTTTTATTTAGATTTTAGAAATAAATATTTAATTATTAATAATTGATTATAGAGAATTATTATTGATTATATGGAAAAAACATAAATTTGTAAAAAACAAATTTGTTTTTCACAAAAATGTAGATTGTTTTGTTCCATTAAAAAGTGTTAAACCAAATAAATAAAAATAAAGTTGAAAAACAATTTTACCTTTTAGTAATTTATTTTTAGAAAAACAATTTTATATTTAGGTTCTGATTAGCAAAACAACTTTTAAAAAAGTCTTAAAAGTCATATATTAGCCAATCAAAATTTTACTGATTTGTAAATCTTTAAAATTATAAAAGTTCTCGTAAAAATACTCACATAATTTGTCTTTACATTTTGTTGTTAGATTAATTTTTTTCTAAAGTATATAAACACTAACATTTTTTTTCTAAAGTCATGGTCATTTTTTTAACTATTTACTTCAGCAAAATGAAAATTAAAAATCTACAGCCTACCAACCATATGATCAATCACAGTCGTTTTTCAATCTAAAAAATTTTAATAGACAGTAAATAATTAAAAGAATTTAGCTTACATATTTGCTTTCCAATATAAACTTAACTTATATATTACGTTACTTGTGAAACCTTGCTGTATAATCAAACTCATGTATCTTTTTTGTTTTTACTTTTTCTTTCTTTTATGCACATAAGAATGTACCTTTGAGCTTTTGTCCAGAATTCAGTCATTGTCAATGTTGTTTATATATTTGAGGTTCGTTGTTCTTCACATACCCACAATTTCTTTAATCATAATCTACCCATGTGCCATACATTTATACGGTCTCAAGTATTCCCTTCAAATTAACACTTTGTCATATCGATAATTTCACTTTGTTAATATGATTGTTGTTATAATAATATTTCACAAAACCTTTTATTCTTTGCGGTCTTTAACATCCTTACTCTATGGAAGTTCGTCATTTATTTATGTGTAAAATGTTTAGGATTTAGAAACTATCATCATCCATACTCTCTGAGCAATCTGAACAATTGAGCTGCCTACTCGAACACGAAACTGGTTTTTTTTTTAAATTTACTTTTGCTTTTTTTTTTTCTGAAGATTAAACTTCAAATATAAAATCAGTGCATTTGCGGGTTGCCATATCTATATTTTTTCCAACAGTTTTAGATGTTTGCCATTAACATCAATTTTCTATATTTTTAGACTTCAACTACTCCAATTAGTTAAGTTATTAGCGTGATCCATGCACTACTTTAATTTTGTGTACACAGCCAAGCAAAAAGAAAGATAAGAATGAAAGCTTTTAAGATAGAAGTTTATGAATGGTCTTATAAAAACAGTCATTTCACCACATTGAATTGCATATTTTGTATTTGCGCTGGTAAGGATCTTTTTTCCTAACATCAATTATATAAAACAATACTATTTGTAATTTCCAGTACGTATCTTAAGTTTGGAAATTATGAAAAATGTCATCTTAATCAATACCCACGTGAACTCAAAAATGAAAAAATAATTTAAAAAAAAAAACTCATACCTAACATATCTTTGTGAGTAAAGTGGATTTGGCCGAAGGTTTTAAATTTTTGCAGAATCAACTCTAACCCTTAAAAGAAAATTCACAAATAATAGTCTAAAGCGAGACAATCATTGTCTGCAGCAGGTGCAAGTAATAGCACTTATAAGTAACATACTGACTTTCTAAATGCAGGTTTACTATATTACATATATACAGATAGAAAATAACTTACCGTGAGAAAATGAAAGAGAGGGTTGTGTGATATACATCAAAGTTTCACAGACGAACAAATCTCTTGCCTCCGCTGTAAATAAAAACTCAAGACCACTATTTTCAGAAGAATAATTAAAGATCTAACTTTCCTACAAACATACAGACTAAAACATGAGTTTTGTACGTACACGTTATTAAATTAGATAGAGATTCAGAGTATATACGGCCATCATCAATAATATTTATCTGATTCAGTGTATGGTTTTGGATTAGTCTGGCCACACTATTTATCAACCCATCTTGTCACCACACTATTTCTATGCGCATGAAAATCGGAAAACTCCGTTACTAACTCTTCGGATTGGTTTTCTGGTTACATGCTTTTTTGACCCGCTTTGGTCTGGTTTTTTACCCGCTTTGGTCTTGTTTTTCCTCCGTTGAATCCTTCGTCTTTCTCCTCATGGATAAAGGTGCCGTCAACATTGGAAACTTGATTATCCACCAAAGTTTTGTCCTTGTGAATGGTGATTAATGATTATTTCATGGGTTTTCTCTATAGGAATCATTTGGTGTAAGTTTTTTGAGTGAGCCTGTTGTGATCGTAGATAGATTGAGTAGATAAGAAGGGAAGAGGAACCGAATTTGATCTATGAGATCGTTGTGCAGAAGAAAAATTGGTGAAGACTGATTATTTAATAGAAAGAGGGGAGAAGAAACGATAGAACTTCTCGGTTAAAAGTTTGCTTTTTAGGATTGAGTTTTGTGATAATGTGAATATATATTTAGAGTACAGTCGCTATGTTATTTCAAAGCAAAGAAAGTTAATTTAACATTGTTGATGTGGCATCCTTTTAGAATAGTTTAAAATGCTGATGTGGATGGTTTGAGGAGCCTCAAATAGTTTATTTTATTTAGTATAAATTACCATTTTTTATTTTTTTTAGGGGTGAGAAAAATTAAAGAATGGTAATAATTTATAAATTGTTGAAAGGAGGCGTAGATAGTCAACCTTTTCAACAATTTATAAATTATTACCATTTCTTAATTTTTTTTTTGGGTGGGAAAAAAATTGCAACAAAAAAAACCAAAGCATACTAAATTAAAAAAGTGATATGGTTTGGTTATAATTAAACCTAAATTCTATTCGGTTATCATTTTTTAGAAGTTTTTATTTAGATTTATGTTAGTTAAAAATCATCAGATTAAATGGTTTCTTTAGTTTTAGAACTAAAATTTTAAATAATTTATATTTTTTAGGTTAGTTTTAGATTCATATTTTTATTGAGGTTAGTTATCTTTATAATTTACTAAGTTTTAACTTAAAATTTTAAATATAATATTTTGGAAAAATATTTATATAATAATAAAAAAATTGTAACTCTATTTTTGAAGACAATCAATGTTGGCTAAAGAGTAAAAATGACTGTAAATTTTTTTTTTCCATTTAGCTTTTACAGATCTGATTTTTATTAATGATTTAGATTTAATTTGGATTCTATTTTTTATTTTTATTTTGTTTCACTCATCAGTGTAATTTATTATTTTTATATTAGTATAGTTCTGAAAAAACCTAAACTGAACTAAATCAAACCGAATCATATTAGATATGATTTTAATTTTTATAAAATCGAAAATCAAAAAAAATTTAACCATACCAAACCAAAATATATATGATTTTTGTATGGTTTAAATTTTTATAAAATCAATAAACTATAAAACCAAAAAAATTGAATCGAAACCAAATCAAAATCAAAGTACCAACCCACTTTTTCTCTTATAGGCAAGTTAGCAAATTTGACAAAAAAGAGAAAAATCTATATAAAATAGGATGTTAAGAATAAAATAAACTTCCCATCTTTTGTTTTGTCAACATATAAATTCACTGGAAACATCATAAAAAAAAACTAATCCCTCTCTCTCTCGCTCTCGCTCTCGCTCTCGTGTCGCCAAATTTGAATGGATGGAATTCAGATACAGAGCCATCGACGGTGATCGGCCTCCTCCTGCGACGGACATGGCACCATCTCAGTCGCTGAACCCGAACATTTCCTTCTTCTCGCCGCGACCAATCCCAGGTTTCCTCTCCGGAATTCTCTTCGCTTCACCGTCCTTTTCTCTCTCTCGGCGACGAGAGGAGAAAATTGTTATGATTATAATTGATTAGCTTTCATATATTACAGAGATGAGATTGTAGGTTTATTCTAATTTGCTGATTTCCTGCTGATTTTTTCGTGTGTTAGATTCTGGAATTGGGTAACGTAGTTGAAATTGAAGTGATCATGAACAATTTCTTTTTGGCCCTTTTGTTTAAAAATCCATCCACTTGTGACTCGAATTTTACTTTGTTGCATTTATCCCCCTGTAGTTACCAAACTCATACTCTTTTTCCTGTATTCTTACAGGAACAAGTGAGGATGATGTTCAAAAAGCTATTCAGAGGGAAATCGAGAAGCAGCAGATCCGTCAAGAGATCATCGCTGCAGAAACAGAGAGAAGAAGAGAGCTTATAGGCGAGGTTATACAAGAGATGGCTATCGAGAGAGAGATGGCGAGAAGAAGAGTCGAAGAGACGACGAAAGGAATGTCTCTCGAGGAAAAGCTAACCATGTTGATCAACCAAATCAATGTTCCAAATCAGAACCAGAACAACAACTTGTTTAGTCACAAGTCTACTTATCCTATGCACACAGGACCTGAGAGTCTAGTCACATCACCATTGATGCAACTTCCTCAGCTACATCAATTGCCTGAGGCTAAGGCAACACCAGTTCTTGAGTCTAACAAGGAGAAGTTGATTGTATTGGTAAGTGGTTCTTCTTATCTTCACTACAAGTGTGATTGTGCTTTTTGAGTGTTTGTTTCATATGTGTTGTCTTTGATTCATTTAACTTTCAGGAAAGGCCTGATGCTATAGGAGTAAAGCGTAAAGGAGATGGTGTTGGTCTTCCAGAGAAAGAACCGTTTCAAAGGAAAAAGCTCAAATCAAAAGAAAGAGACATGGAGACGGATGTGGAAACCGGAGAGACAGCCTCTTCGAAGCAAGTTGAAAGCAAGCCAAAACGTATGTTTAAGTTTTGGTGCGAAGTTTGTAGCGTTGGGGCGTTTTCTCAAACAGTCATGAGGAATCACGAGTTTGGAAGAAAGCATAAGGCCGCGATCGAAAAACAGAGTGTTCAGCCGCCACCTGAGAAGGCTGCTTCGACCTCCATCACCACGGCGCCACTATCAGAAGAAGATGAAATGGCGTCGAAAGAAGCGGGGATGAAGACGGAAGGTGAGAAGAAAAAGACGGTAATCATTATGTGTGAAATTTGTAATGTCTCGACGAATTCTGAGAAGATGATGGAGAGTCATAAGCTTGGTAAAAAACACATGGCTCAGCTTAAGAAACAGTATTGTGAGAAGGCGAGGGAGCCTCATAGGGTTGAGGAAAAGCATAATAAGCCTCTAGATGGTTTACATACAGATATCGTTACAGTCCCAGAGAGATCTTTAGATGCTGATTCAGGAGAGAAACATACAAATGGTAAGGATCATTGCTTGGACTAGACATAGAAGGTGCTTGGAATCAGAGAGGTTTGAATTTCATTTTGATGCCATGTTTACAGTGGGAGAAATTGAGAAAGTCAAAACCAATGCCATTAGAGAACTAGAAAGACATGAGTAAGTGTTTAGACCTAAAATGTTTTGCAGTTTGGAGTGTTGTTGTCATATTGTTATCGTGTTTACTACAATTAAGTAGGAGGATGTTTTGTTTTGTTTAGATATGGAAGATTGGTTTACTTAATTTAACTTAACAAGAAGTATTTCATCGTTTAAATATGCATTTAGCTGTTCAGCTTGGATTTTTGCTAGATTTTATCTGTCATCTCTTTTTCAAGACCTCATTTCTTTATCTAATACATTTTGTTATTCATTTGATTAACTATTATACCGTTAACACTATTATCTTGGCTAGTGTTGTCATTATGATTTCTGCCAATAATGACTACAAATTTACGATATATGCGATAATACAATTCGAAAAAGGATTTAGGCAAATGACAACAAACTTACGATACATACGATAACACAATTCGAAAAGCTGAGAGATTCGAAAAATGATTTTAGACAAACGACTACAAATTTACGATACATACGATAATACAATTCGAAAAAAGGATTTGGGATTTTATGTCTAGTTCGTGCTACATTTGCACGGTCGACTGATTCGATGGAGCAGCTCCTTCCTCCATATTCTGGTGAGTTTGATCTTCATCCACTTGCTGCAGATGTTTCTAATGAGGCCAGATGGGCTTGGATGATAGATTCTCAAAGGAAGAACAACTCGAAAAGCTGAGAGATTCAAAAAAGGATTTTAGACAAATGACTACAAATTTACGATACATACGATAATACAATTCGAAAAAAGATTTAGGATTTTACTCAGACGAGATTAAAATTTGACGATACATTCGCTGATACAATCACAATAATACTGTAGAACCCATAGTGAATTTCGAAGATTTGAGAATGCTTTGTTAATGTAAAAGCAGGATATGGATCCCCAATTGGATGATGCCAAGGATATTCCAGAACCACTCAACTTGCAAGAAGTGCAGTTCGATAAAATAACAGTCAATAAAGCAATTTGAGAGGTCCACACACAGCTCGCTAAGAGCAGCGGATTGGAAGATTCTTTTTGACCACATAACTAACTTCCAACCTGATTTCACACACGATACCAAAAGATATTGAAGGATTCTATAGAGTGGACTCCAGATACAATAAGAACAAGAACGATCAACCAAGCGCTAAAAGCAAGTGTACTAATGCGCAAGAACATTTTCATGTGAGGATTGGGACTGGACTTATAAATTGGAATTATAACGGTATGATGGTCGATGATGCTGACAACCATGAGCAACAATTTTGTCTGAAAAAAGGAAGGTTGTCAGAAACAGTCTCCGTTTGTATGGAGAAAAACATATAAATGGTAAGGATCATTGCTTGGACTAGACTTAGAAGGTGCTTGTAATAAGAGGGGTTTGAATTTCTTTTTGATGCAATGTCACAGTAGGAGATATTGAGAAAGTCAAACCAATGCCATTAGAGACTAGGGAGACATGAGTAAGTGTTTAGACCCAGAATGTTTTGTATTTGGGAGTGTTGTTGCCATATTGTTATCGTGTTTAGTACAACAAAGTAGAAAATGTTTGTTTTGTTTGGATATGGAAGATCGGTTTAATTAATTTAAATTAACAAGAAATTTTTCATCGTTCAAATATGATTTTTGGGTACTCCTGTTCAGCTCGGATCTTTGCTAGATTTTATCTGTCATCTCTTTTTGGAAATCTTATTTCCTTTTCTAATTCATTTTGTTATTCATTGGTTAACTTTTATACCGTTAACATCATTTTGTCATTATCATTGCTGCCAACAACACTATATTTAAATATAAAAATAAAACATACATCATCGTACCGTCAACGTTACCACCTCTAACCACAGTTACCATCATCATCAGTTTCATCGTCTGATCCCATCAACATAGCAGTGTTAGCCATCGTCACCAGTGGCAGAGCCAGCACTTTGGGAGGGGGTCAATTGACCTAGGTGAATTTTTGTAAAAAAAAAATTTTATTTGTATATTGAAAAAAAAAATATATAAAATTTGCTAATTGACCCCTGTAATATTCTGAGTATATCTAATTGATCCTAGTGAAATTTATGGCTGCTGTTGAACCAAGAAATCCCCAAGGATTTGATTAACAGTTGTGGGTTTCAGAGAATAATTTTTTTTCTTAATAGCTGTAAAGCGAAACGATTACAAGAGATGGCTTAACCGAGAGGTTATACCAAAGTGAAAGGAAAGTGTTTGCGAAGTAAACTAGAAAGCGTTGGAGTTCTTGGTTTTAGCTCTGCTGCTCTCTAGATTGTATTCCTCGTTCTCTTCAGCTTCAGGCTCTTCTTATTTATAGGAATATGAGGTCGGTTGTTCCGAACTTCTTTTTCTTTTTCCCTTTGGTGAATATTTCCATATTCGTGATATGAAAGTATCCCTTATTCTCCGAAGAATATGGAAATTCTCCTTTATCCTTTGCGTTGATCCGATACTTCCGGATTCCAAGATTATCCTTTAAGAAATTTCCTTTTTCTCCGAGCTAGGTCGGCATAGTCTCCTTAGTCTTGGTGGGCTTAGGTTATTGCTAGAGAAAGCCTCTTAGAAAATATGCTCATTTCCCCTTTAACAGTGCGCCCCCTCCCCCAGTTCGGTGAGACTGATTGTAAATCAGGTCAGCGGATTTCATGAAGTTAAGCGGGTTTGATCTTGCAATAAGCGTTAGCTTGTCAAGAGCGTTTCTTCGCGATGGCCAGCTCGGCCCGATTTTAAGTGGATTTGTCACGTGGCGCTTCCTCCGAATAAATTATTAAATATTCTGACCCAATAGGGTTTTGCATTAAGCGGGAAAGGCGAAAGGTTTGCCAGACGGCGAGATTGTGTGAATCTCGACATGCGTCCCTTTAGGAAACTGTTGATATTTCCTTCCGATTTTATTACTGAGTATATATCTCTTGTCTTCTTGCTCCAGAAAATTTTACTTTCTTCCTGATTCTTATCTCTTGCGATAATCTCCTTTGCTTGACGATCTTCTTTCTTCTTCTCTTGATTTTGGATCTCGGTTGAGCGCATTCTTTTAGAGATATGGAGTTAAGGAAGAGAGACAAGATTCCTTCGTTGGACATTGATATCCCTGATTTCCCTCTGAGTAAGAAGCCCAGATCGGAGGCTCCATCGCAAGACTCGATCATCGTTAAAGATACTCCATTGGATAAGCCTGATGTGGCTGTTGCGGATGCTTGCTCATCCCCAAGAATTTTGACAGAAGGTCCAAAAATTGAATCGCCAATCGAGGAGCAAGAATCCATCTTTGTGACAGCGGAGGGACAAGAAACCAACTCGCCAGGTCCGACAAGCAGCTCGCCGAAGGACCCGGAAGATGTCGATGAGGACCCCGGTTTCAACCCTCACGAGTTCTTGCTACGCTGGAGCGGAGATTCCCCGGCAATGCTTAATGAATACTTCACAGCGAATCTGGTCTGACAATGTAGGGTGAAGCCGAACCAAGGTGCGTTGGTGGAAAAGCTAAAGCGGTTCGTTTGCTTTTCTGGAATGGCTCATCGCGTTGTGCAAGGTTTAGGCTTGTGTGCATTTTGATTGACTTGTATGACCGAGAATCAGCGCGAAGAGAGAAAAAAGACGAGGATCTAATAGTCAAAGATTGAGACCTCCGTGACGCATTGGCGAAGATCAAAAATCTTGAGCGTGAGAAGCTCGGCTTGGAGCTCGAGTATCAGGCGCTTAAAGTCGAATCTGCTAAAGAAAGACAACTCCACATGGAGAGTTTGGAGATGATGGCGGCCGAAGAAACCAAGAGAGCAGCTGCCACCGAGAAGGAGTTCCGAGGTCAACAACACAAGTCTGCTGAGCATGTCGTTGACCTGATGTACCGACGTTCGCGCGAGTGGTACGACCCCCATATCGAGCGGATTAAGGCATTTATGGCATATGAGCCTGATATCCACCGGCTTGAACTCAAGATCGTTGATGCCGAGGCGAGAGCAGATTGCTACAAATAGCTGAGGTCGACAGGATACAAGGTTCCGGTTAAGGAACTTCTGTCCCACTCCGCTAATACCGACCGTTTGAAGATGGAGCGTCACAGAATTAAGGATGCTCTGCTTACTCAGGATGACTTCGCCGCTCCAACACGGGTTCATATGCGACCTTCTGACTCGGAGTTGGAGGCGGCCGGGATTCAAGTGCCGAAGCGGCGTTGAGCTGCTTCTTTTTTTATAGTCGTTTTTAGAAAATGTACGCGAGATGAACACTTCCTTTTCCTTTAATGAATCGAATGAGTCAGTTTATTATTAATGCTTTTGTTTACGCTCGTTGACGAGGTGATCCTTAATTTTAAGGGTTTTTTGCAAACTCAAAAAGTTTCTTTTGTCTTGCGGTGCGGGGGCATTCTTTAGGCCGGTGCTGGAAGTAAGATTCATACGCTCGTCTAATACCAAATGATATTTAAGATCAAATACCAAGCTTCTATGATTTACTTCGGCTTGAAAGGTATGATCGACGGTCGTGCGAGTGTTGTCCTCAACTTTCGTCTTATCCACTTCGGAAGTAATTAAATCGAACCGAAGTATCAAAGGAGTGGTGATCAGCCACTAATTTATTTTTCGCTTTTGCTTTTTCGAATCGAATGTTTGGCCAGAACATCGATTCAGTAAGATGCATTCGCGTAAGGGGATATTACTCTATGTGCCGAGCTTATTTTTCGGTCAATTTAGACCAGTAGTTCTCTTTTACTTTGAACACTGAGCTGGTTAACAAAGTTAAAGATAATTTTATTAGGATAGTGATTGGACTCGAAAGCTGCCTACATACCCGAAATGGGATCAAGTCATCCGTAGTTCTTAGCAACAATTGTGAGCTTAAATGCTGAGCTGTATTTCCTAAGGGTAGTACTTCCTCAAATTCATTAAATTTCGTGCTCGCTTCACCGGTTTCCATCCATTTTTTCCAGTTTGTAGATGCCGGGTTTGACGATGTGATATGGTTCCTTCCAATTTGCTTAAGTTTTGTCGGGTTTGTAACCCTCCGAATAACGAGATCATGAAGCGAGCACAATCGGCTGCGTACCTTCTTGTTGGAATATCTGGAGATTTGCTGCTGATAGTTCTGAATGCGCAATAAAGCTTTATCTCGAAGTTCTTCTAAGCCGTCCAGAGCATTGATTAGTTTTTCATCATTTAGTTGCGGGTCCTGAACCATTAAGGTTCTTCGAGCACTCGGTATGTGCACTTCGGCAGATGCTAACATCTCACAGCAGTGAGATAGCAAAAAAGGAGTTTCCCCTGTTGCAGTTTGTG